ATCATAAGCACAATACCTATGACTACTTCGGAAAGTGAACGTTGTTTCTCTACTTTGAAACGAATTAAAACGTTTACCAGGAGTACCATGAAACAAGACAGACTAAGTGCGCTTGCTATGTGTTCTAACGAAAAAAAGCTATTGTCAACTTCAAACGTCAACGAAAAAGTAATAGATCACTTCGCCGGCCAGAAAGAAAGGAGGATGGATTTCACATTCAAACAGTACAATTAAAGTTAGGCCTTACCCTCATGGTATGGTTTTCTACTCACTATTGCCGTGGATGTTTTAATATAAAATACAATTAGACAAGCCTTACCCTCATGGTTTGGTTTTCTATTCGTTATTGCCGTGGATGTTTAAATATACAATTCAATTATTGTCAGGCCTTACCGTTTGGTTATCTACTCCTTATTGCCGTGGATTTTTTACTATTAAATTATAATTTATTAGTTATATTTTCAATACAGTGTAGACTCGTTTTACAAGGCCGTAGGCAGGGGAGGGGAGTTAGAGGGTCAAACCCCTCCCCCAAAATTCCGAAATTGAGCAGTAAAAATTAAAACTAGGTTTAAAAAGTGCAAGTTAAATTATGAAATAGAAACCACAATAGAGGATTAATTGTTATGTTTTGCAATATCTATTCATATTGAATATAGGCCTAGTTCTATTAGGATAATAAATCTGATCTATTAAATAAATTGGTAAAAACTATTTAAAAAATATACTTTACTCTACTCTAATTATGTCTACTTGCTCATGACAAACAACAGGTGAAATGGGAGTTTTTGGACTATTATTGGACACAGTTTTAGGTGTTAAAAATTGCTTTAGAAAGTCACCAAACTCCTTTAAAAATGTAAAATTTTTAAACCCCGGACCCCCCTCTTCTCCGGGGGGTGCAAACCCCCCGGAGCCCCCCCTTGACAAGGTCCTAGAGACGCCACTGACTTTAGGCTGCCTTTTTTGAGTATTTTCAAGAAGTGCATAGTATCATCAAAGTGTATGAAATTTTATTCTTTTTCAGAATATCACCTTCCACTTTGGTCGATTTCCTCACTATTTAAACGTTATTTGCAAAAAAGCTAAGCAACCTCCGAATTTATAGTAATGAGAAAATATGCTGAGTTAGGGATATTTTTGTTAAACTTTGTACAACTAAATCTAGACTTCTACTAGACCGATTTTGTTAATTAATGGGTCATTGGAAAGCCTAATTTATTTAGATTTGTAAATAATAATGAAAGTGTGATTTTTATTAGATATTTGTGGTGAAAAAGTAAAAATAACAAAAATATATTAAAACTGTTTTTTTCAAGTTTCTGTTTTCAAGTATTTATTTGTAAATAATTGGGTGCATATTTTCATTTATAAATTATTTATTTTTATTCTCTATCTAAACCTTAATTACAATAATGTGAAAAAGGTGTTTTTATTCAAAATTATTACCTGTAACACGGCAGGTCTTTTATTCTCCTCTCCTGTAATGAGTAACAGATATACATAGAAAATATATTATACTGTAGGGTTTATTACAGCCTAGCCTTATGAGACATAGGAGATTTGTGGTATCTGAGATAGCCTTGGTCCCGAATATCCCAGATAATTGGCAGTGTACTATATTAAATTTCAAACTGTTATACAGAGCGTTCATAAAGGTAGGCCTATGTCACAAAAGGTATGAGGTATAATCAAACAAGCTGTGATTGCATCGTAAGTCATATCATACCGTTCAGTACGCAGGGCCGGATTTAGCGTTTTTGCGCCCCAAGGCCCAAATAATTTTCCGCCCCCTAGTCTGTTTACAGTTACTTTCCTTCAAACCTTTATTAAAACTATATCATGCCCATAGGCCTAAGTTAATTGCTTAAATACCACTCCTCGTTGGAATCATTGCAAGTTTTTTTTTTAAGAATTGACTTGTTTAGCCTTAGTAAAATGCCGTCTTAAACACTTTTAGCAATTTTATGCTTTTAATAAATGCTCACGTTTGTGGCCGTGGGACTGAAACAAAACAACTCAACCCACCGAGCATTACTGAAAAAAAGAGAAAAAAAACATGGCCATTGATTCCAATTCCAGGCCCAAAAACATGAACTCCATACAATAACCCATTAAGTTATCGGTAATTGGTAGGTTTACCTTAGAGGTGTAATTGAACAAAATATGTGATACCATAGATTAAACATACTCCTTTAGTAGATTTGTCATCATTTTGGATTAGCTGAAAACAATTTTTGTTATTTAAGGAGTATGTTTTATCCATGTTTAAACCTAGTTTGTCCAAGATAAAACGATCTAATCATCAACAATAGGTCGTCTCCTGTTTATATTACAAGAAATTAAAACACAAATCATAGAACTAACCCTAAAATAATAGAAACAAAATTACGTCAAAACTAACGTCCAGTGTCACCAACATGAAGAAGACATGAAAAAGATTGAATTAACAATGTCATAATAAGTCGACTTGAGTTACTGTCTATGGTCGTACTGCATCTAGGTTATATTTCCAAAGCAAAACAGAGCAATATTCGGGCCAACCGTAGGGATCCTTAGGTCTGAGGAGAAAATGACAGCATTTATGGTGCTTTGGAGGGTATTGAATTTTTCTAAAATCTAATGCAAACTGAGATTAATATTTTTTGTTAATTTTAAAGGTAAATTTGTCGTTGTTTTAATATTCAACACAACTTATTATATATTTTAACTTGATCCTGCAGATTGTTGTAAACTAATCAAAAGATTAGCTAATAACTTTTGTTTTGTGAGGTAAGGTTGGTAACAATGTCTAGCACGCATGCGCCCCTAATCACTCTGATCAGTAGTGCCGAGCCCGAGCCAGCATAGTGGCAGTGCAGTGGCAATACGATGCTTACCCCTTGGGCGCTCGTCAACGTCAACATCCCTACTCAACTCCCGTATTAACAATGTCCGTTACCAGTTTTGTAACGAAATTGATGCGTAATTCTGAAAATTGTTTAAATTTCCTAACAATTGTTTCTTCTTATGAACCTCAGAATTGCAATGCTTTGGAGTTTTTTTTTATCAACTATGACTATTTATTTTTAGATAGCCTAGGTATAAAAAAATTTACTCTCAGCCGTGCGCCCTCTGGGACCTTGCGCCCATAGGCCCGGGCCTATTGGGAAATCCGGTCCTGTCAGTACATCATATTAAAACTTATTAATAAATTTAACCGACCACTAGGCTTGCCTGGCTAGTTTACCCAAAGATTTTCAGGATAAGTTTGTCTCAAATGTTTATTTAAGGCATTAATTATACTTACCAGCAAAGCTTTCAGAAAGCTGTGGTGTTCAAGTTTTCACAAACTTGCCAAGAAAAGCTTAAGTCAAGTGTTTAAGAAGGGAACTACAGGAAAATGGCTTTCTAACGGTATGCGTAGATTATCCCTACGATGCACATGAGCTGAGAAAAAAGGTTTTAAAGAAACATGCTTGCCTATTAATATATAGATAGATGCTGAAATTGTGTCACAAACGCTGATTGTTTACAGCTGTTATGTTAAGAAATTATATTATACCAAAAGCTAGTATAGAATGTTAGACTTTTTAAAAATTAAAACTAAATTTTTAAAAAACTGAGACCCTAAACTAAAATTATGGCTTGATTCAGAATCGTGAAATAAAAAAGCCCTGTCATGTTTTAATATATATGATAACCTCATAGTTCTAATTCATTTAGGACTGAATTACTGAATTTGTTATTCAAAGTAATAAAAAAATAAATGTTGATTAGCTCTGTCATTTAAGTGAAAAAAATTCAAAAGTTTAATTACCTAATGAAATGAAAAGAATACTGAGTGGTGCGGATTCGAACCAGGGACCCACCTCATGAGAGGCAAGAACTCTAGCGCCATAGCGCCTAGGCTATGTTTTGAAAACCTACTTCTCCATTACTTGTAACGGTGTTGCAATTAGTGTATTTGTTACATCAATAAACGTTTAGGCTTATTATTCATGGTTTGTAGACTCAAAATTAGAAAATCACCAAACGATTTTTAAACCAAATATTCTTCTGCTTGAATATTTGAAAACATAGGTAAGGGTACTTGAAAACGTAAAAAAATGTCCTTAGACGATTTAATTAGGCCCTACATTCAAAATTTGAGCCTTCTTTTCTTTGCTCATGGTAAGCTTAATTTTATACGTCAAAATTTAAAAAAAACCATAAAATCACAGCATGCGGCAGCAACAGATCAACTTCCACTTAACTGTTGAGCGCCGCAACTAAGCCTACAACCAGTAACTCAATGACGGTGTTTGCGGCGACGAGCTCATTGATGAACATAAATAATAACGGTTTGATAAATAATATGTTATTGTTTTACTTACCATGTCTATATAAATATGAATTAAAAAGAATACAATGTGTTTCTACAGCTATTTTTTTTTGCATTAAATGAAAAAAGTTTAAAACCTTTTATGAAGCGTCAGAAAACCTATGATTTTTTTTCTTTTTTTTTCTTTTTTTTTTTGTCCTAGGACGCTAGGCACGAGCCTGGGATTGTTTTTTCACATTACTTCAGGCTAGACCTAGGGGTCGCGGCATTATCACTTAGATAAATCCATTGGTGACTTGGCGGGGATCGAACCCGGGACCTCAGGGACTGAAGTCCCGCGCTCTAACCACTACGCCAGCTCGCTCCCCCAATGATAGAGGTTACTGTATAGAGGTTATTGTATGATAGAGGTTATAAATTGGTGTTGATAGTTCACTTGAAAAGTTGGTCACTTGACTAATAATTTTGGTCACGGGACTAGTAAAATGCACTAGAATTTACTAGTGGCAGAAAAATGGCTATAAAACACAAATTTGTAGGACAGGTAAATACAGGACTAGTATTTACTAGACTAGTATCTTCATAAAACAGGGCCCTGATAGTAACTCTTATTATCAATTTTCTGTAGGACATTTTCATGTGAGTCATAGTTTACATATGATTTAAAAAAGCTTAAGCTATTAATTAATATATTAACCTGCTGCAGTTTGTTAAACCGATGAATCTCATCCATAAAAAGAATCGTTTGTCTCTTGAAGTTAGTAAGCTCATTCTTTGCAATCTTAACAGCTTCTTTTACATCATTGACACCAGCCATCGTTGCAGAGAGTTTTACAAATCTATACTGTGTCTTGGATATAGATTGGCACTGCTTGCTGATTATATGAGCCAGTGATGTCTGTAAAAAATATTGTCTACATTCATAAATTAACCACTTTAAATTGTTTTAAGCTTAAAAAAGAAGCTCTTAACAAATATTCAAAACTATTTAAAGAAAAGTATGTCAAGGCTCCATATGTATGCAATTTAACACTTAAAGATACTGCTTGTATAGTATTTTTAAAGACAACTCCAGCGCCCATTGAGCCTGTCAGCTACAGAAAGCCAGTAGCACCAGTTATTTGATACCCCAGCTCCTCCAGCAGAGAAGCCTGGCTGTAACTTGCTCCTCGATGCCTTAACCACCATTGTTCCTTTGAACAACAGCACTCCTTTGATCCAGAACCGGCACTCGTTCACTTTGAGTTGCTCGGCAGCAAAAAGTTCCGGAAGTTGAACCTCATCCACAAGTTGAACAAAGATCTATCTGTCGGCCAGTTGTTAGAATAAACTTGTGGATTGTTTTGCCTGTTTGTTCTCTTTTTACAGGGGAAGACTGTATATTCAAATTACCTGACTCATTTGAACAATTATGTAAAACGTCTGTTTAGTGCTTATGTTCACATTATTTTGTACTTTTTCTGTTGTTATTAAAATTATTTTTTGTAATCACAATTTTATTTACAATCTATTCAGCTTTTTGAAAATCCAGCAAATATGAGAACAATTAATAAAATGTTAGTTAGTCTCTATCCATCGACAGACCTAACTTTAAAATATTTGAAGGAAAAAATAACAATAATGAAATTATTTAAACAAAACGAGAGCTGAGGTCTAAAACGTGAGTTCTTTTCAGTCTGTATATAATGGTACTGTTGTCCAAGAGGTTTAAAGTCAGGTGATTAGGATGATTTTCAAGTTCTTTTAAGTATTTTACACAAAATTTTGTTATTTCTTCTTCAACCATTGGAATTCCACTGTCCTTGTAAAGAATTTTGTTATTGACATACTTGCAGGATGAATCTTAAAACTTTTGATTGAAATCTTTGTATTAATATTTATGTTTGAAATGCCTAACTTAACAGCAATTCATTTTCTGGTATTAATTTTTAATTTCTATTTAATAGCCAAGAAAGATTTATAAATTAAAAATTAAACTAAAGTCTCTTGTTCCAAATATGGCTTGTCCAAGTAAGTCTTCTGTCAAGGGTCATGCCCAATTATTTAACTTCATTACTCTGGGAGATTTGAACATTATTTAGGGTTACTGGAGGACACGTGCCTAATCTTGTTGTAAATGTTGTAGGGACAGATTTACTCTCATTTACTTTGATCCCCCATTTTTTTAACTAATCGGAGAGATCATCGAGGCCAGTCTGCAACATTTGTGAAGCTATCGCATTGTTATTAAAATTCAATTCAGTTTGTATGAGTAAAGTGAAATATGCTTTTAGGCACCCTGCATATAGGCTATATATTATAATATTATCTTTAACCTTAAAATTGCCTGTATCAAAAATATGTAAACTTAAAAATTTATAACAACAACAAGAAAAATGTTTGAACTACCTTTCCGCATCCTGGAGGGCCCCATAGTATCATACTTGGTATTTCATTTTGATTTAAAAGAGTACGAAGTAAGCTTGTTGATCCCAAAACATGTCCCTGACCAATATAATCTTCAAAAGAAGACGGCCTCATCTGTTCTGCGAGAGGAGCAGTTCCCTCAAGTGTAATTGTTGGCATTTTGGAACTCAACTCCTGAAAAAGTTAAGGCTATTTTAACTCTGTTTTTTCACAGTATCTAAATTACGTAATGTTGGATCTTCAAAATGAGGTTAAGCCAACTGTAACAATAAAACATTCTGTAGAGACGTTAAAAGTTCTTTGCATCAATTTTAATGCAATGTAATATGATGTATGATGTATTTAATGTATTATGAAGAAGATCTTTAGTGTGAATGATTACCATAAGTCAATATTAATTAGATGTCTAGATATTTGAGTGGTTATAGTTCTTATATATAAATAATAAGGTTGCTGGTTCTATCTCAGGCATCAGAGTTGATTCTGGACCCAGATTTCATTTGTCATTGAGCTATCAATTAAAGAGGCTTTGTAATGAAACTAAAAGGTTGAGATAAGATATCAAAACCAGAATTTGGCACCACTCTTTTTTTTTAAAAAAAGCCAATGGGGTAAAAACATACAAGATAAAAAATAAAATGAAGGCCTACTGATGAGTAAATAAATTCTACAAGTGATTCAAACCAAATACACAAGCCTAGAACACACTGGGGAAAAGGTAGGCCTACTAAGATTTGTAGTCAGAGTGGTTTTTGTACGGTTGCAATAAGCACAGTGAGAGGATAGGGTGCTAGGCACATGTCATAAAATAAACAAAATAAATAAAAATTCCTTTATTTATCAAGTGTTTCTCAGTACAACTGCTTTTCAGAACAACTTTCGTCAATATCAATAATTAAACTAACAAATTAATAAATAGAACAATAACAAAACAGAAACAAGACAATATAACACAATAATTAACCATCAGCGTACAATTCTTTTATATTAACTCTAAAGGATGACAAGACAAAATATTAGAGGTATTGCTTCAAAATTTGAACTTTTACAAGTTTTCCTTGACACAGAGATGCCAGATATTGTTTGTCTTAAAGAGCACAATTTAAAACATAATAATGAATTTTATATATTCAAACTAGAGGGGTTTAACAACGTATCTTCGTTCTGCAGAACAAAAATTGAAAGAGGTGGAGTCTGTATACTCGCCAAGAGTGACTTTTGTTACCAAAAGATTGATATGGATGTGTATTGTCACGAGGGTGAGTGTGAACTTGCTGGAGCACTCTTTGAGTTCGGAGGAGAGAAAGTTGTTCTAATTGCAAATACAGACCAAGTAGATTCCAAGTAGACCAAGTAGTCAATGGGTGAGTGTGAACTTGCTGGAGCACTCTTTGAGTTCGGAGGAGAGAAAGTTGTCCTAATTGCAAATACAGACCACCTACCAATAATCATAAAATTTTCTTGAACTGCTTAACAGAATGCCTTGATAAATATAGTAAATACAAAAATAAAACCATATTAATGGGGGATTTTAATATAGATCTGGCTTCCAAATCATTTACAGCCTCACAATATATATCAACGATGGGTTCCTTCGGATTGTAGAACAGAGTAAAATATTTTCAAGAGAATTAAAAAGCTCCAGAACTCTTATTGATCATGTTTTTACAGACAGCGAGGAAGGGAATTTCAAATGTTTTGTGATAGTGTCAGCCCTCTCAGACCACCACGCACAACTTGTCACTTTAATGCTTTCAAATACAAAAACTTCTCCACCTAGGTCAAAGGTCTGTAGAAAATTCACGCCTGCTGCTAAATAATACTTTAAGATATTGATAGAAAATGAAAATTGGGAATTGGTTTACCTTGTAAATAATGTAAAGTATAAATACTCAGCTTTTGAGAACACGATTAATCACCTTTTTAACATCGCTTTTCCAAAGATAATAATGAAAAACAAAAAAGCAAGGGAGAGGAGGAAAATAGTTCTTGGACCTGACACAATTGAGTTAGGAAGAACTGTTCAGGAACTACACATAAAAACTAAGGACCTAAACTCGACCCTGTTCATGAGATAGTACTACTTGAGATTGAAACAGAAATATAGATAGGCCTACCAAATTCGTCAGCTAAAATCGGCCCAGATATTAAGACATCGATAACTCTGACAACAAATCCAAAACAATATGGCAAATAATAAAGAAAAACAAAGACTGTACGGACAATAGAAATAAACCGATTAAGATTATAAATGATAGTGGTGAAGAAGTAAACAATCTTACTGATGTTGCTGAGATTTTCAACAAATTTTTCTTGAAAATTGGCGGCACACCCGAAGGAGTCCACAGTTTAAACGTCATTACTTCAGTACATTAAGAGATTCGTTCTTCCTTTATAAAACTAACAAGAATGAGATTTTAAAAATAATTAAGAAAATTAAAAATAAAATATCTTCTGGAGCTGACGAAATTTCACCTAATTTTATTAAAGAAATTGGACACTTAATTTCTAAACCCCTAGCAAATATAATCAACAGTTCATTTATAACAGGAATATTCCCTGAATCTCTAAGACCTCCGTTGTGAAACCATTGTTTAAAAAAGGTAAATCAACAATGTATGATAACTACAGACCAATAACTCTAGTCTCAACCATATCTAAAATATTTGAAACAGTAGTAATTGTAAGATTAACAAAATGTTTAGAAAAAATAATGTTATGTTTAAGAATCAATTTGGATTTGTAAAAGGAAAATCGACAACTAATGCAATGTTTACCATAATAAATCAAGTAGTTCAGGCTCTAGACTCAGGAGAAAATGCTTTAGGGCTTTTCTTTGATCTGAGCAAAGCCTTTGATACCGTAAACCACGATTTACTTCTCATTAAAATGGATTCCATTGGGGTGAGAGGGCTGGCACAGGAGTGGTTCTCCTCATATCTCCGTAAGAGGGAGCAGTTTGTTGAGGTGAGAGGAGTTTACAGTTCTAGGTGTGCTCGACCCTTTGTCTCCTCTCGGGACATCCTCACTTGTGGGGTTCCCCAGGGACCTGTCCTTGGACCTGTACTGTTCTTCATTTGTGTAAATGAATTGCCTTTAAGTGTTGGAGGCTGGGGAGGTCTGCCTTTTTGCGGATGATGATAATAACAGCATTGGTTTGACCGGATGGGAATACGAGAGGGACTAAGGCTAAAAGTGTGGTGACGTCATATCTCTAGTGGCTAATGTCTTCTCATGAGGCAACACGATTACCGTAACGAGACGATGTGATTCCAGCGGCGTTTGTGGCATAGTTGATAGCGTTTCGGACTGGTGTTCAGGAGGTCTCCAGTTCGAAACCAGCCGGGGACACTAACTTTTTGTCAAAGGTTTTGCTTTGAAAGCAACTACTTCTTAACTGTAGGCTACATCTTTTGTTAGAATTTGATGCATTTATAATTTTATTTATGAACAGAACTTTTTTTAATAGTAAACCTTTATTCAATTTTTACCTTGTATCTTTTTTATATTATCAGCAAGTTTGGTTGGTTAGGTTAGGTTATGACAGATTAATTTTATAATTAAAAATTTTTAAATTTATTTTATAATTAAAGTTAATTTTATAACTAAAAAGTTAATTTTATAACTAAAAATTATAAAATTATTTAAAATTTTTTCAACTTAGCGGTTCTAGCGACGAACGCTGACACTACAAAATATGTTAGCCATAGTCCCTCCTGTGTGCCCCACCGGTGGTTTGACTTCAATTTACTTAACCTCAATCCCAACAAAACCGAATTGCTCCGTTTTTCAATCCAAGGCAATCCTTCTACAAACATCCTTCTAGAGGATGTAGAGATTGAGTCTTCAGACAGTGTCAAATTCCTTGGTCAAATATTAGACAAAACCCTTTGATTTGATGACCATGTTGACAATGTATGCATGAGAGTGGGGTCTGGCATCTTCCTTTGAAGGCAACTTGCACATTTCTCCGATCAGAATGTCCTTCTGACAGCCTATTATCGTGTAATCATCCCTCATTTGGTCTACGCAGTACCGACATGGGGATGCGAGAATGATAGAACTAGATTTTTATTTCAACTCCAAAAGAGAGCAATTCAAACTAAGTTATCTTTAAAATCAGTCCAAGAACTTCTTGTAAAGATTTCTTTTTGTGTTCAAGTATTTTAACTTTTCCTTGCTTGTACATTCTTGAAGCACTCTCCTTTTTGAAAAATAACTTCTCTATCTTTGCAACCCCCAGATCTTGCCCATCAAATTATTTAGATGGGCACTAGTACACCATGCAACTGGGAATACCTTAGTGAATTAGTGATGAGTGAGTGAGCGTGTCAGTGAGGGCTTTGCCTTTTATAAGTATAGATTTTGATAAAATTTGGCAAATTTATTAGCGAATTTCCCATATAGGGAATAAGCTATTACCGTAGTACTCATGGTAAGACCTGGACCCAGGACCGATTTTTTTTTTTTTCGTTTTGAGGTCCCTAGAGGCCAAAAACACCATCCGTTCAAATTCATATGTATATATATATATATATATATATATATATATATTTATATATCTTTCTTGATGAAAATGCCAAATGACTTTTATATTCTTGAGGAGATCTTGATAGAGTTTATGATGAATGAAACATGAAACAGAGCAAATTTTCGTTTAATACAAACGTTTTCAAGCAAAGAGAAATGAAAAATGTAAAGATGAACAAAACAATATTTATTTGTTTTGTTCATCTTTACATTTTTCATTTCTCTTTGCTTGAAAACGTTAGAATAATCAGATTCTAGCCTCCAGGGGTGGTCGACAACATAGGGGTGGGGGCGCAAAGTTGCGAAAAACGTTAATAAGAAAACCGCTTTTAACTCCCTTCTTATTGAACGTAAGTAAGATTCAATTAAATTGACTTTTTATTTTATTAATAGGGGCCTAGGTGAGTGTAAAAACCCATGTCGTACTCTCCAGGGGTTAAAGTTTCAAGTCTCTATAACTTTTCTAAATGGTTAAGAAAGAAATTTACCAGATTTTGAAAGTAGGGCGTTTTTTGATGGTGAAGGAGTGCGATTGATTTTTGAAGAACACTTCAAAGTGTTTTGTAGAAAATTTAATTCCTGATCATTAAAGTTCTTTCAAATCTTTTCTAGCTCTTACCGTTTATAGAGCTATAGTCCTTTAAAAAAACGTGTTTTATTTGTTTTAAGGTGTCAGCCATTTTGGATTTTTGAGGGGGTTAGAATTTGAAAATTTGCAAATCGATTCGACAATACTACAAAATTTCAAACCTCTAGCAGTTTTCTAAAAGGTTCAGATGAGCACACAAAGTCGACCAGTATCAATACTATTCCCCGTAAGAATAACATAGAGGGGAAATTCGAGATTTCGGGGGGTAAAATTTGAAAATGTATAATTTTTCAGAATTTTCCTGGGGATTTGGGCCCAAGACCAAGAGGTTTGCCAAATTTCAACTCCCTAGCACCTCTAGAAGTGCTAAAACATTTGTATACCTGAGTCAGTTACATATGCGGCTGTATAGTATATGCACATGCGCCCCCACCCTTAAGTTGTCGACCACCCTTGGAGGCGACGACATGGGTTTTTACACTCACCTAGGCCCCTATTAATAAAATAAAAAGTCAATTTAAATTAATCTTTTACTTACGTTTAATGACAAGGGAGTTAAAAGCGGTTTTCTTATTAGCCTAACGTTTTTCGCATTTTGCGCCCCCACCCCTATGTTGACGACCACCCCTGGAGGCGACGACATGGGTTTTTACACTCACCTAGGCCCCTATTAATAAAATAAAGTAAATTTAAATGAATCTTTTATTTAAGTTCAATAACAAGGGAGTTTTAAAAGCGGTTATCTTATTAACGTTTTTCGCAACTTCGCGCCCCCACCCCTATGTTGTCCACCACCCCTGGAGGCGACGGCATGGGTTTTTACACTCACTTAGGCCCCTATTAATAAAATAAAAAGTCAATTTAAATGAATCTTTTACTTACGTTCAATAACAAGGGAGTTAAAAGCGGTTATCTTATTAACGTTTTTCACAACTTTGCGCCCCCACCCCTATGATGTCGACCACCCCTGGAGGTGACGACATGGGTTTTTACACTCACCTAGGTCCCTATTAATAAAATAAAAAGTTGGCCTAAATTTAAATTAATCTTTTACTTACGTTTAATAACAAGGGAGTTAAAAGCGGTTTTTAACGTTTTTCGCAACTTTGTGCCCCCACCCCTATGATGTCGACCACCCCTGGAGGTGACGACATGGGTTTTTACACTCACCTAGGTCCCTATTAATAAAATAAAAGTCAATTTAAATTAATCTTTTACTTACCGGTACGTTCAATAACAAGGGAGTTAAAAGCGGTTTTCTTATTAACGTTTTTCACAACTTTGCGCCCCCAACCCTATGTTGTCGACCACCCTTGGAGGCAACGACATGGATTTTTACACTCACCTAGGTCCCCATTATTAAAATCAAAAGTCAAAATCTCTGACTCTTTTCATGCATACTCAATTGCACGGGAGCACCTCGCCTATAAGTACCCCAGGCCTACTTAAGATATAAGCATATAAGTTAATGTACCACCCCACTTCTATATATAGGCTAAGGGTGCGTACACAAAGAACGCCGGTTGCCGGCGCCGGCAATCCGGCAGCTTGCTCCTCGTGCTTATAAGCGCGGCAAAAGCTTGAAGCCGTACATAAAGAAAGCTGGTAACAAGCGCGACAAGTCAGTTCACTTTGAGCAGTGTCAAAGATGTCTTCGTCTAGTGATGATATGTTTTTGGCGGAGAGTGTTCATGTAAAATTATTACAAAGGAGGAAAGTCGGTGTTCATGTTATTAATAGACATAGGAAGAAACTTGGTGAATACCATCACTTGTTTCCGCAACTAAAAGGTGACCCACAACGGTTCTACACATATGAGAATGGAGCTAGCGACTTTCGATTACATATTAAGAAACATAGAAGGAAACCTTCGGCTTCCAATTCAGAAGCTATCTTTTTCCAACACTTATCTACATGCACTCTGTTCGCGTGCAACTTCTCCCGTTTATCCCAAATCGCCTTCTTTTGATAAACTTTGGAAATTAAATCATCTGTATCAACCATCGCGCTATGACACCCACCAACTGCACAGTACAGAGACCACTTGCGGACTGAGCCGGTTGCCGGAACCGGCTTATAAGAATGTTCTCTTCATACTTGTTTGCCGGTTGACGCCGGCAGCTCGCGCTTGTTGCGCTTGTTGAGCCGGCACCGGCGTTTACTGTGTACGGGCACACTTGAAACCATGTTAAGTTCTTCTCGAGCCGGGATGCCGGCAACCGGCGTTCTTTGTGTACTTGTTAGGTAGGCACCTAATGTAAAAGAAAATGTGAAATTTCATGTTTGAAAAGTCAAAAAAAATTGGAAGAACCAATTTTTACCCCACAAAACCATAGTCCAACAGTCCGAGTCCATACAGTAGGCTACCTAAGTTATATCACCAGTTCCTATGGTCTAATCATGCTGTTTTGCAAACTCATCAAATAAACCTTGGTTTAGACCTACTTGTTTATACAAAAATTTGAAGATTTTTACTTATAGGCCTAATCAAGTTTATGGTGTACGGTACCTAACTTAGGTTAATGGACACATAAGTTTCATAAATTTGAACAGATGGTGTTTGTAGGCTCATGGGACATAAAAAAAGTAGCCTATCTTTGTACCGGCCCCACGTCTTAAGTTACCACAAGACCCTGGGTACGCCCCCAATAAGCTTAAGGCATTATATTCATCATATTCCTACGATAGAAATTTGCTTAGACCTACTTAAAAGAATATAAAAATGCAGCTTAGGCCTACAGTAAACCTTATTAAGTTACCTTTCCTTTTTCTTTTGCTGACACTGAAGTGAAAGGATCGTTGCTTAACTCCTTATTTTTACAGAACTTTTTAGACTGAACTGATTCCTCCTCATTTGTTTTCCTTTTGTCTGTCTGAGGTTCTTTGTATGAAGTGCCATCGTTTACAGAGTTGAGGAATAGGCATCTATTAACATGGCCTTCTATTTGAGAAAAAGGAAATGTCTTGGAACAAATCGGACATTTAGATCCACTTTCTGTATCACTAGCAGAAATTATTATTGATTTGTTGGGGCTAGGGGATTTTTTATTAAACATATCAGACTTTACATTGAAAGCCATAACTTAATACAATTTAGAAGAAAGACTTAAATATAGGCCACTTTGGAATCCTCTAAAATGTATAACAGTCTAATAGGTGCAGTTACAAATCACAAGTTTAGTGTTAGGTACCTATCAATCAGACTAAATAACACTTTTATTAACTTAAAGTACCATTGATAGGGACAGGGACACAACCTAGGCCTATACGGTACCTAGTAATCTATTTTAGTACAATAATGTGGATTCAACTTGCATGTGGACAACGCTATCATTTGTAATAATAGGCCTAGTTAAATCTGACACCGACACCTCGAGTCCTCGACTCCCCTGAGTTGTGAGTTCTTCTAGGCTAAGTTGAAATTGAAAAGTGTCTCTTCCAAACAAACCCAAGATTGATAGGCGAATCGAATTGATCATACTAGGCCTAGGCTGCAATTTAGTACAGTATTTTGAAACAAAAATATATTAGCCTAGCTACCTCCTGTAAGCCTGAGCAACTTACAACACTGTACACGGATTTCTTATACAATATTCCATTTGATTAAGTACCATTAAATAAATAATTAACTTAAAATTTGTATTATACTTTGTTTATATTCTTTTATTATACTTGATTTTTTATTTATACTACAGTACAGAAAAAAGACGGACAGGTTTGAGGTTTGATTATTGAGCTCAGTTTAAGGTTAGCAGCGCCAGCGGCGTCCGGCTTGGCTTCTTCTTATCTCTTTAAGCAGGCTAGGTTGATTTATTTGAAACCAATAGCAAATAATATCGGGTTAGGGTTCACTTACTCTACGAATCATTGACACAATGAGCCTCCAAATATGTAATTCTTAAAACACATGGCTCACTTACTCTACAAATCATAGTCTATACGAGCTTCGTAAATAATATTGAAGGTTCACTTGCACTACAGGCTCGTATACTATACGAGCCGATCAAAAATATCAAATAAATTAAGAGGGTTCACTTACTCTACAGATCATAGTGCCTATGAGCCAAGCGTATGAATTCTTGAATAATTCAGGAATAAGCTCGTATAATATACGAGCCAAAATACTGAATTTAAATAAATTATAGGAGTAGGCTCGTATACTATACGAGCCTATTTCATGATAACTATTACACAAATAGAAGACGGCTCACTTACTCTACAGTTCATTGGCACAATGATCTGTAGAGTAAGTGAACCCTCTACAAATATTAGAAGGCTCACTTACTCTACGGTTCATTTAGCTACTCGTCGCGCGGTTTGCAGCGCATCGTTGCAGGCGTGTATGGTAAACCAATACCGCAGTTCTGCCGTTCTGCCTTACTTCTGCCGTTTACTAGTCTTGCAGCGTGAAAGAGAGCTTGTTATGTTAATGCATTGTTGAATTTTTAACTTGTGTACTCGTTGCTAGAAATCAAGCAATTATCAAGTACCGGTATTACAGGAGCTATTTTAAGAGTTATTACAGACTTAATTTTCAATTAATTAAAAAGACTCACGTAAAAGCTTATGCAACTAATGGAATTACTTACTGTGTTATGAACATTTCTATATAATTAAAGTTGTAAATATTTTAAAATTGTTTAGAAGATTGCCTTTTTAGTGTTTTCTACAAACGTGTCTCAACTTATACACATAGACTGGTGGAGTGGTAATTTATATTTCTAATCATTTAACTTTAAATTATGAACGCTTTCAGTCACGTGAAGTTGAATTAATTAAACTGACATTAGTTTTTACCATAAATGATAAACCTTTTGAAATTGACTTAATAGCTTTGTATAGAAACTATAAATATGATTTTTATTTTTTCCGCAATGATTTGCAACGTATTTTGAGTAATTGTAAAAACACAGCTATTATGTTAGGAGATATAAATTTATGCATTTTAGAACAAAATAACAGTGTCATTGATTATTTAAGTATAATGAACTCATTTGGTTTTGAGTCGTTTATAAATGAGCCAACTTGGGGGAGAGAAAATTGGGTAAAGTGTTTAGACCATGTATTCATCAGAAGTAAGACTAATTTAATTTTTCATAGTAATTTAGAAAACTATGACTTTACTGATCATGCTGGAGTTAATGTAAATTGCGTAACAAGTTGTGATAGTGCTTTGAAAGAGGAGTTTGTCAAGGCTGTAGATCATTCAATTTTAAAACTATTTTTTCATTACCCTCAACCTGTACAATTTCATCATCTATATTAATCGATGTTAGTTCATTTTTTGACTTTCTCATAATAGATTTGCATATATTCCAATAAGACTTTGATGCAGCCCTTTACTGCTTCAATTTTAGATGAGTAATAATTAATTTTTTCCCGTCTTTTCAAATTAGAACATTCTCTAGAGAGTTCTTTATATCTATTAAACAAATGTATGTCATAGTGCTTTTTCAATCGAGAGTGAAGTCTGTTTTTTTCATTTATCTTTTTAATTAGTGTGTCCGATATCCATGGAGTTCGATGCCTATTTTTACTGTTAATAGGCCTTAAAAAACTTGATTGCTCAATACATTTATTATAAATATCGTAAAAAACTGTTAGAGATTTATCAACATCCTCACAATCAAACACTGGCATCCAGCTCACTTCAGCCAACCTTCTTTTTAAAATTGAATGATCTACAGCCTTGACAAACTCCTCTTTCAAAGCACTATCACAACTTGTTACGCAATTTACATTAACTCCAGCATGATCAGTAAAGTCATAGTTTTCTAAATTACTATGAAAAATTAAATTAGTCTTACTTCTGATGAATACATGGTCTAAACACTTTACCCAATTTTCTCTCCCCCAAGTTGGCTCATTTATAAACGACTCAAAACCAAATGAGTTCATTATACTTAAATAATCAATGACACTGTTATTTTGTTCTAAAATGCATAAATTTATATCTCCTAACATAATAGCTGTGTTTTTACAATTACTCAAAATACGTTGCAAATCATTGCGGAAAAAATAAAAATCATATTTATAGTTTCTATACAAAGCTATTAAGTCAATTTCAAAAGGTTTATCATTTATGGTAAAAACTAATGTCAGTTTAATTAATTCAACTTCACGTGACTGAAAGCGTTCATAATTTAAAGTTAAATGATTAGAAATATAAATTACCACTCCACCAGTCTATGTGTATAAGTTGAGACACGTTTGTAGAAAACACTAAAAAGGCAATCTTCTAAACAATTTTAAAATATTTACAACTTTAATTATATAGAAATGTTCATAACACAGTAAGTAATTCCATTAGTTGCATAAGCTTTTACGTGAGTCTTTTTAATTAATTGAAAATTAAGTCTGTAATAACTCTTAAAATAGCTCCTGTAATACCGGTACTTGATAATTGCTTGATTTCTAGCAACGAGTACACAAGTTAAAAATTCAACAATGCATTAACATAACAAGCTCTCTTTCACGCTGCAAGACTAGTAAACGGCAGAAGTAAGGCAGAACGAGTGCCTATGAGCCAAGCGTATGAATTCTTGAATAATTCAGGAATAAGCTCGTATAATATACGAGCCAAAATACTGAATTTAAATAAATTATAGGAGTAGGCTCGTATACTATACGAGCCTATTTCATGATAACTATTACACAAATAGAAGACGGCTCACTTACTCTACAGTTCATTGGCACAATGATCTGTAGAGTAAGTGAACCCTCTACAAATATTAGAAGGCTCACTTACTCTACGGTTCATTTAGCTACTCGTCGCGCGGTTTGCAGCGCATCGTTGCAGGCGTGTATGGTAAACCAATACCGCAGTTCTGCCGTTCTGCCTTACTTCTGCCGTTTACTAGTCTTGCAGCGTGAAAGAGAGCTTGTTATGTTAATGCATTGTTGAATTTTTAACTTGTGTACTCGTTGCTAGAAATCAAGCAATTATCAAGTACCGGTATTACAGGAGCTATTTTAAGAGTTATTACAGACTTAATTTTCAATTAATTAAAAAGACTCACGTAAAAGCTTATGCAACTAATGGAATTACTTACTGTGTTATGAACATTTCTATATAATTAAAGTTGTAAATATTTTAAAATTGTTTAGAAGATTGCCTTTTTAGTGTTTTCTACAAACGTGTCTCAACTTATACACATAGACTGGTGGAGTGGTAATTTATATTTCTAATCATTTAACTTTAAATTATGAACGCTTTCAGTCACGTGAAGTTGAATTAATTAAACTGACATTAGTTTTTACCATAAATGATAATCCTTTTGAAATTGACTTAATAGCTTTGTATAGAAACTATAAATATGATTTTTATTTTTTCCGCAATGATTTGCAACGTATTTTGAGTAATTGTACAAACACAGCTATTATGTTAGGAGATATAAATTTATGCATTTTAGAACAAAATAACAGTGTCATTGATTATTTAAGTATAATGAACTCATTTGGTTTTGAGTCGTTTATAAATGAGCCAACTTGGGGGAGAGAAAATTGGGTAAAGTGTTTAGACCATATATTCATCAGAAGTAAGACTAATTTAATTTTTCATAGTAATTTAGAAAACTATGACTTTACTGATCATGCTGGAGTTAATGTAAATTGCGTAACAAGTTGTGAAAGTGCTTTGAAAGAGGAGTTTGTCAAGGCTGTAGATCATTCAATTTTAAAAAGAAGGTTGGCTGAAGTGAGCTGGATGCCAGTGTTTGATTGTGAGGATGTTGATAAATCTCTAACAGTTTTTTACGATATTTATAATAAATGTATTGAGCAATCAAGTTTTTTAAGGCCTATTAACAGTAAAAATAGGCATCGAACTCCATGGATATCGGACACACTAATTAAAAAGATAAGTGAAAAAAACAGACTTCACTCTCGATTGAAAAAGCACTATGACATACATTTGTTTAATAGATATAAAGAACTCTCTAGAGAATGTTCTAATTTGAAAAGACGGGAAAAAATTAATTATTACTCATCTAAAATTGAAGCAGTAAAGGGCTGCATCAAAGTCTTATTGGAATATATGCAAATCTATTATGAGAAAGTCAAAACATGAACTAACATCGATTAATATAGATGATAAAATTGTACAGGTTGAGGGTAATGAAAAAATAGTTGCTGACTCATTCAATAACTACTATTTTACTGGTATGCCGGATAAGCTGATTAGAGAATTGTATGGGCCGGGATTCCCCGCCATGCCGGATATCGGTCTAGCGTGCAGCTCAAGATTACGTTTATCTGAAATTATTGAGGTAGAATTAGGAAGTTTAATCTTTAGCAAACCAAATAAACAGTCTGTTGGCTTTGATGGTATTTCCATAAATACTATAAAAGAAAATGTTAAGATTTTTGTCCCAATATTACGTCACATTTTTAATGTATGTATAAAGCTAGGTTACTTTCCTTCTAGTCTAAAAACAGCACTCATTGTTCCAGTATATAAGGCAGCTGATCCATTGCAAATGAATAATTACCGACCGATTTCACTTTTAAATACCTTTGCTAAGCTGTTAGAAACTTGTGTGAAAAGCCAATTAGTTAAATATTTTTCAGATAACAATTTATTTTCAAATAATCAATTTGGGTTCATGAAAGGTAAAAATACTGACCTAGCAGTTGAAAGACATATAAGCGAGATAGTTAATCATGTTGATTAGCGTAAACCAACAATAGGAGTTTATCTTGACTTTACTAAGGCATTTCACTTAGTTAATCAAGA